TGAAAATGATATGTTTAAAATGATAATACCAAAATGATATGTAGAAAATGGTATGCTTAAAATGATAATACCAAAATGATATGTAGAAAATGATATGTTTAAAATGATAGTACCAAAATGATATGTAGAAAATGGTATGTTTAAAATGATAGTACCAAAATGATATGTAGAAAATGATATGTTTAAAATGATAATACCAAAATGATATGTCGAAAATGATATGTAGAAAATGGTATGCTTAAAATGATAGTACCAAAATGATAATACCAAAATGATATGTCGAAAATGATATGTAGAAAATGGTATGTTTAAAATGATAGTACCAAAATGATATGTAGAAAATGATATGTTTAAAATGATAATACCAAAATGATATGTAGAAAATGGTATGTTTAAAATGATAATACCAAAATGATATGTAGAAAATGGTATGTTTAAAATGATAATACCAAAATGATATGTAGAAAATGATATGTTTAAAATGATAGTACCAAAATGATATGTAGAAAATGGTATGTTTAAAATGATAGTACCAAAATGATATGTAGAAAATGATATGTTTAAAATGATAGTACCAAAATGATATGTAGAAAATGATATGTTTAAAATGATAATACCAAAATGATATGTTTAAAATGATAATACCAAAATGATATGTCGAAAATGATAATACCAAAATGATATGTCGAAAATGATATGTTTAAAAGGATAATTAATACCAAAATGATATGTAAACGTGTAATTAGTGAGGAAATGACCAAACACATTTGTTTTATCACAATCTACTAAAGCAATATGACAAAGTTGACGGTATCATAATAAGTATTAGACAATTTAACAGAGTATATTCTTTTGACCCAAAAACCCTTCCATATTAAATAGTATTGAATAATAGGAGACACAATTGGCAGTGAAAATGCCTGTAATTGCATTGNCAACATTAATCAGAAACTATCTTACGTCTATTAAGATGACAAGTATAAGATTTGAAGGAGTATTTGAATATGTAAATAAGAGGAGGTCAGTAAGTTGTAACTACAGTCCATCTCAATGAGTTTAAACTTTCTATGACCCTGTGCTTATCCGTTAGGAACACTTTAATC